TCAAAGGCACTAACTGCACCAAGGTACAAACCACTGAGTTGGCACAACTTAACAATCTAATGGTTAGCTTGAATCACCTATCTAGTATGAGTCTATGTTGTTTCACGCTTATTGAAGACACAAACAGTGATGCAAGGCCTTTGTCACCATTAACCATAAGCACCCAAAAAGAACAAGTGGCTCTGGAAGAATTACTTAATTATTACAAGGAAGTATTCAAAGAAGCTGAAGGACTGCCTCCCATCAGAACTCATAACCACACTATTCCTATGAAAGAAGGTGCACAAGCAATCAACCTTAGACCTTACAAATATTCTAGAGTGCAAAAAGACATATTGGAAAAGATGGTGGAGGAAATGTTCGAGTCTAGGATCATCCAACAAAGCAGGAGCTTGTTTGCTTCCCCTGTTGTTTTGGTTAAGAAAAAGTATAGGTCCTAAAGACTCTGTGTTGATTATAGAGCTCTTGTTTTGGTTAAGAAAAAGTATAGGTCCTAAAGACTCTGTGTTGATTATAGAGCTCTCAATCAACTAACCATTAAGGACAAGTTTCCAATACCTCTATTGGAGGAATTATTAGAAGAGTTGGTGGGTACCATAATATTTTCAAAGGTGGATTTACAATCTAGTTATCACCAGATTAGAATGACTCCCCATGATGTGTTCAAAAGAGCATTCCGAACTCACAATGGCCGCTATGAATTCTTGGTGATGCTATTTGGGCTAACCAATGCCATTGCTACCTTTCTGAGCTTGATTAATGAAGTATTCCATAAGCATATAAGGAAGTTTGTGATAATATTTTTTGATGACACCTTAATCTATAGTCAATCAATGACTCAGCACCTGGAAAAGTTGCAAACCGTATTTGATTTACTTAAAGGGCACTAGTTGGTGGCTAAGCACAACAACTGTGCATTTGGTATCCCTCAGGTGGAACATTTAGGACATGTCATCTCTAAGGAGGGAGAAGCTACTGACCTTAAGAAAATTCAAGACATCACCGATTGGCCTGAACTCCAAAATGTTAAGCAACTACGGGGATTCTTAGATCTTATTGGCTACTACAGAAAGTTTGTCAAAAACTATAGAGCCATTAGCAAGCCACTCACCCATCTACTAAAAAAAGATGCATTTGTCTGAAAGGAAGATTCAACCAGAGCTTTCAGAAACTTAAAACAAACGATGACTCAACCCTCGATTCTCTCCCTGCCTAACCTTAACATGTCTTTTGTGGTTGAAATAGACACCTCAAGGTCTGGTATAGGTACTATACTCATGCAGGAGGGGCTCCTTATCTCATTCATCAGCTAATCATTAAAACCAAGGCAATAAGCATTATCAACCTATGAAAGGGAAATGTTGGCCATTCTACATGCAATTACCAAGTGGAGACACTACCTATAGGGAAAGCATTTCACAATCAGAACAGATCATGTGAGCCTCAAGTGCCTGCTGGCACAAAAGGTTTCTTTTCCCTCCCAACACATTTGGTTAGCCAAGCTTTTAGGCTTTGATTATGACATTGAATATAGAAAGGGAAAGGAAAATATTGCAGCTGATGTTCTATCTAGATGTACCATCAATGAGCTATTCACCCTTACATTGTTTATCATTTTGACCAACTTGTTAGACGAAGTAAAGGCATGCTAGGAGATAATGCTTTGTTAAAGGTCATCAGCAATCTAAACATAAATACTAGTTTGCATCCACATTATACATGGTATAATGGTTGAATGGACATCTGTACAAAAAAGGGAAGCTGGTGGTGGGCAATGATTTTAATTTACAGGGTAAACTAATCTCCATCTATCACGACTGTACCATAAAAGGACACTTTGGTGTTACTGTCACCACTAAACAGTTAGGGTCACCATTCTATTAGAGAAAACAACAAAAACATGTGAGGACATATATGAGAGAGTGTCACACCTGTCAAAAAAATAAAAGCAAGAACATCCTAACACTTGGCTTGCTTCAACCTCTTCTTATACCCAAAGACACCCTTTGTGGAAATCAATATGGATTTCATTGAATAGTTACCCAACTCCAAAGGAAAGAATGTTGTTTTGGTTGTAGTAGATAGGTTCAGTAAGTATACACATTTCATTGCTCTATCCCACCCCTACACAGCTGCTTCGATGGCAGATGCTTTCATGAATAACATCTATAAACTACATGGCTTACCTGCTTTAATAGTAAGTGACAGACCCAGTGTTTGTAAGCAAATTCTGGAAAGATTTATTCCCCTACCAAGGCGTTCAATTGTTGCATTCAACAACCTATCATCCTTAAACAAATGGGTAGACAGAAGTGGTGAACCGGTGCTTAGAACAATATTTGAGGTGCATAACAAGCAAGACACCCGATCAATGGTCCAGACGGCTACCATTAGCCAAATGATAGTATAATACCAACTATCATTCGTCATTCAAGTCTACACCCTTTGAAGTTCTATATGGTCAAGATCCTCCAATCCACATTCTTTATCTGCCTAAGGATTCTAACATAGAAGTTGTTGACAAGCAATTAATAAAAAGGGAAGACAGGCTTAAAACTATCAAAGACAATCTCTAGTTCAACATCGCATGATCCAACTAGCAAACAAAAAGAGTAATGAACGCATCTTCAAGGTGGGAGACTAGGTCTACTTGAAATTACAACCCTACAGGTAACAAATAGTGAGCAGGAGGGGTTCACACAAGTTAGCAGCCAAGTACTATGATCCTTACCAAGTAATTGAGTGCATAAGGGCGGTGGCACACAAACCTAGCCTTGCCGGTTCAAGCGTTATACACCCAGTGTTTCATGTTTCCCAATTGAAGCAACATGCAAGGAATAAGATAGTGTATGACAACTTACTAGCCCAAAACCTAGACCCGGAGTTGCAGCCCCAAGCCATTCTTGATACGAGAGAATGGTCAAGCACCAAAATCACGCAGCAACACAAGTCTTAGTTAATTGGAAGACCTTATCACATTCAAAGCCACATAGGAATTTGCTGATGACCTTCTGATGAGGCACCCACAGTTCTCCCTTGAGGTCAAGAAAATTTTTTAAAGGGGAAGGTATTATTGTGAACCAGGAAGCACAGTAATGGGAAAAGGAATTTAAACCAAAAGATCATTGATGAAACGATGGCATTTCAATAACGCTCAAACAGCTCTTTAGTTACACGCACCATTTAAATAAATTCATTGCCAGCATCAGCCTTGTGTTACAAGAGTCTCGTGTGCCTCAAATAACAGACTCTAGAATCTACCCACTCCTATAAATACAACACTGCATGTAACAGAAGGAATATGAAATATACAATGCAATTATCATGCTTCTCTCTTGCTCTATCTCTCCTCCCCTTCTGCCTTCCTCATTCCTCTATCATTCTTCATATTTTTATGTTAATTGGAAAGGCCACTGCCATATTAACTCATCAATTGGATTCTTTGCTAATTGGTTCTCTCAGAATTCATCTCGCAACAGTAAATACTGGGGTACATTCTTCTTCTCAACAACAAAGGGTTTTAGCTTGGGTTTTTTCAGGGGTAACCACAGTGCACAAAACCAAAATAAAATCAAATCACGGATTTAATTTCTTTAAATTATAGATATAATTTCACCACAGGGTTTTAACTATTCCACCTTAATAAATATTTTATATAAAGATGTTAAATTAGTCTACTGTAAATCCTAGATTTAATTTCTTTAAATTAAAGGTATTAAATGTTTAAATAAAAATTAAAAAAACAACCATTATTCATCTACTGCAAATCGCGGAATTAATTTCTTCATGTTGCTCTCTTCTTAAGCAATCAAGTTAACTTGTTTTTTCTCTTCATTTAGGTTGCCTAAACACAAGTCTGTAAAATTAAAAAGTTAAAAATCAGCATGTAAAAATAAAATAAAATAAAATAAGAAACATACCGAGGAGAGACTGCCGCTGCAAGCGGGGAAGTGCTGGAGATGGAAGATGAGGCGAGGGGATGGTAGAAGGGAGAGGAGAGGTCGCTGTTTTAGGGCTTGTGTGGCTGCGTTTGGGTTTTCACCGAGTGCAGAGAGGGCAGAGACCAGAGATGGTGGGTGGAAACTTGACACAGCAGGAGATTTTGAGGGGAGAACGATGGAGCAGGGGAGGGTTACTCTAAAAAAAAATTTAATACCGTGTACTTGTTTTTATACCGGTACAGTTCGGTCCATCATGACATTTTGGTGCTGTTGTTCAAAGAATCGTGGACGTTTCATGATCCGTGCCACATGGCGTCTGACCAGTCCCCAAAATATGTATCTGCTGCTCAAGTGCTCTAACATAACATTTTCTGATAAATATTTTATGTTGCAGATTCAATCTGGTATTTGGTCCCATAAACCCGCCTTCTTATGCTGTTACTCCTCCTTCAAATCCCGAGGGTAGAACAAGTCTTGTCAGAGCAGCTTATATTCTCAAGTGATGGGAAGAAAAGGCTATGCATTCTTTGATGTCAAGTCGTGAGATGCTCTTGAACACGTGGGCCTACGGCATCTTGACTTATTGACACAAACAGGCCGTCAGTAAATAAGATGGACTCTGGGCTTTTGACGAACCTTTAAGGTTGGAAAGGCCCAGCCCATCTCTGATGATCCTCGAATGAGCATCCTGACGCCAGAGTGGGGCCGTTAATTAATTTTGTAATTAAGCTGAAGAGCTCAATGGAATGGACTTGCACTCTCCAGTATTTTTAAGCAGTCATTTTCATTAACATAATCATTAACATAACTTGATAAGAATGAGAAATAGTTTAAGATTTTAAATTTATTTTTAAAAAATTATTATTTTTATCATTATAAATTTTAAAGTTATTAAATTTATATAATTATTAATTTAAAAATATATAAAATTAATTAAAGTAAATACAAGCTAACCGAATATTTATATTAATAATAAAAAATAAATATTTATTAACACGATGATGACCCTGCATGCTCGATGGATGGATTGAAGAGTGATGAATATATATATGAAAACAAACAGATAATTTAAATTAGGAGGTTGGGTGCACCGTCCCCGTGTATTGTATATTTCTTCTAGTTACATCATCCAGCACCTAACTACTTTATTTTAATTACTTTATACTTGCTCTTAATTTGTCTATTTTAGGGCTTAGAGTTAATCGAATCAAAATGGACGTCCATCGTGCAAGCACTCACCAAGTTTCTTCTTCTTCTTATTTTAAAATCAATTAATCTCCTTATTTATTAGAACAAGAACAAAACAAGGTTCTATTGTAAGGTAGTCTCCCCCCACTCTTTTATTATTACATGTAAGTTATATCGAATATATATTAATTAAACAAAACAATTATTAGAATAAAACTTTTTTTTCTATAAATAAACAGATATAATAATAGAACTGCTCTGTCTGGTTATTCAACATCAAATTATGATTATTATATGAAAATAATTTAATCAAGGCTTGAGCAATTTGTTTAAGCTTTGCAATTTTTGCTGATCACGTTCTTTGCCTCCACCTTTCTTTCGATCTCCTTTCTTTTTGTAGCAAGCCTTGGATGCTTCTCTGATCACCCTGCAAACTAGCTCCTTAATTAGTTAACCAACTCTGCTGATCCATCCATCCATCTATCATATTATAGTCGTCATCGTCGTCTTCTTCTTCTTATGACCCATAGGATCAATTCATGATATTGTCTTAATTTCTCAACTACATACGTAACAACATGGGTTTGGTCAAAGGAGTGGCGCTGTCTACAAGGCAAAGGCAACGACCTCTTGGTCTAGCCTTGTGCTGCCTATATATTCTTCAACTACTGCTGCTGTTGCTGAGTTCTGTAAGTGGTATTGGAGTCAACTGGGGAACTCAGGCAACACATCCTCTGCCGCCTTCCACGGTGGTTAGCATGCTCAGAGACAACGGTTTTCAGAAGGTTAAGCTATTCGATGCTGATTCAGCTACTCTAAATGCTTTCGCTAATTCTGGGATTCAAATCATGGTGGGCATCCCCAATGATATGCTCTATACTCTGGCTAATAGTGAACAAGCTGCTGAGAATTGGGTGGCCAAGAATGTCTCTTCCCATATCTCTTCTGGTGGCGTAGACATCAGGTAATCCATCAAACCCTTCCTTTCCCCTCCCTTTTAATTTTTCTTCCTTTGACTTGGATTTATTTGCCGATCAATATATTTTGACTTGATTTACACAAGCCAAGTATGTGTCGAGTAACAAGAAACAAGTGATCATGACTATGACCAAATCATCCCATATCAGCTTGCTTTGGCTCTGCTTATGTGGTGTTTATGTTGCACTATATGTGGAGCATTTCCTGTATTGGGGTATTTATTCGCCAGTAACTTTGAGCCATTTATAAGGTACGTTGCAGTTGGAAACGAGCCGTTCTTGTCAGCATACAATGGAAGCTTTCTGGGAATAACTCTTCCTGCTCTTCAAAATATCCAATCAGCTTTAACGAAAGCCGGACTAGACACTCGGGTGAAAGTCACCGTTCCCCTCAATGCTGATGTATATGAGAGTCCCACAAATCTGCCATCCGATGGTAACTTCCGCTCAGACATCCAAGATCTCATGCTGTCGATTGTCAAGTTCTTGAGCGACAATGGGGCTCCCTTCACTGTCAATATCTATCCTTTTATAAGCCTTTACACTAATCCTAATTTCCCCCTAGGCTTTGCATTCTTCAACAACCGTAGTTCGTCTTCCTTGAATGATGGTGGAAAAATCTACGACAATGTGTTCGATGCGAATCATGACACCCTTGTATGGGCCTTGCAGAAAAATGGATATGGAAACTTGTCCATTGTCATTGGGGAGATTGGATGGCCTACCGATGGAGACAAAAATGCAAACTTGAACTATGCACAGCAGTTCAACCAAGGGTTTATGAATAATGTCAATGCTGGTAAGGGAACCCCCATGCGTCCTGCTCCTGTGGATGCCTACTTGTTTAGTCTCGTCGACGAGGATGCCAAAAGCATTCAGCCTGGTAATTTTGAGCGACACTGGGGATTATTTTACTTGGATGGACAGCCTAAGTATGCACTTAGCCTGGGGACGACGAATTCAAATGGTCTGGTACCAGCAAGGGGTGTGAGCTATTTAGCTCAGAAATGGTGTATTATGTCTCCATCAGCAAGTCTTGACGATCCGCAGGTGGCACCAAGTGTGAGTTATGCTTGTGCTAGTGCAGACTGTACTAGTCTGGGCTATGGGACTTCTTGTGGAGATTTAAGTGCACAGGGCAACATCTCCTACGCATTTAACAGTTACTACCAGCAGAACAATCAGCTTGAAAGTGCTTGTAGGTTCCCAAATAATCTTTCGGTTGTTACAAGCAATGACCCATCCACCGGGACTTGCAAATTTAGGATCATGATTCAAAGTCAAACAGTCACATCTGGTGTTGAAGGTGGAAGAGGGTTTTCAATGTCTAGTTTTGTAACGTTTGCCGTCGCGTTTCTTTCAGCGTTTTTGTGATTTTTGGGGACTGATTGTATTGGACTGTTACTTGTATTTCCTTGATTGGTATGTATAGAAGGAGCTAAATTGAGAATTTGAGTCTGGAACTTTTAAGTCATTAAGCACAAGAACTAAACAATTGGAACACAACAGGATAATTCTCAACTGGTCTCATGCTGCTGTTCGAAATAGTCACGCATCCAAACATGAATGAAGATAGCCTGCAAATGCCTACCAAACTCTGAATCAGCTCCTACATGAATAATAAGTCCTCTGTGTTTGTGAAAATGAAAGATCACTTCTGAAAATCAAATTTTAAATATTACTCGCATTCTTATGTTGAAAAGAAGCAGTGGCTGGAATGTCAATCGAACAGCCACCCCTGTTAAAGACTTTTAGGACAATAATAACAATAATAATAATAATTAAGTAAAAAACTAAAAAGCGGTGTTTAAAGTATGCTCTCTCTTGTATTTATAAAAAAAATCATTTAATTTTTAAATATTTTTTTGAGCGATTGCTTCCTCTCTTTTTTTTTTTGCCCAAATTTAAAGACAATTAAATCAAATTATTAGATAAAGATAAAACTGAAATACAGGGATTAAAGTAGAAAAAATACCACAAATAGGTGATGGTTTTAAAGTTCATACAAAAAGTTTAATTTAGTCTTTCTACTTTAAATATTACACATATTCAGCACATCAATATTTTTTCAATTCAATTTTGGTATAAAAATTTTATTTTTTTATTTTTTTAGTCTTAGATTTGAAAAATGAAAGATAAAGTTTACTGAATTTTAGCGGTAAAAAGAAACAAATATCATTGATACCGATTTAAACCATCAAAACGATTGATATTTGTGTTAAATAATTGTATTTGATTATGAGAGTTCATGTTAGGTGTTTTTTTAACTTTAAAGTTTGTAAAAAAAAACAAATAAGAGTTTAGGTAGATTTTTTATTTCAGGTTGATTTTGACTTTTACAATGGTTTTTTTTAGTTTTTTAGGTCATGAATATGTTTGATTAAATAAAATATTTATTTTAATAAACAAATTTAACAAACACAACTAGGTAAATATCTCGTTTTGTGAGATAACATATCTTAATCTACATTTATCTCTCAATTTTTTCAATTTTTATTTTTAGTTATTGCTTATGACTTTTTTTCATTTATTAACACATATAGTTGTCGATTTATTTTATTACATGTATGCATGAATTTTTTTTATTTTCTACAAATACATGTTAAAAAAGCTTGTGTATATAATTGTTTTTGTTGAAAAAAAATAGCCCACAACAAAGAATGGGTTACATAACTAGTAAGCAAATCTAAAAGATGTGATCAAAATACTTAGCACATGTTCATTATTTATTCTTTCACATTTTACTGATTATTTACTCTTTCACATTTTACTGTAGATTTGCTATTCAATTTTTTTTTCAATTTAGTCTTTACCTTTTTGTGTCAAATTAAAGGACAATTAAATCAAATTTGTTGATTAAGGATAAAATTGAAAGAAAGGGATCAAAGTACAAAATACATTATAAATAGGTGATGGTTTCAAAGTTCACACAAAAGTTTACAAACTATACATATTCAGTCCCTCAACAATTTTTCAATTCGATTTTGGTATAAAAATTTATTTTTGTTATTTCTTATGTTCCTAATTTAAGAGAAAAGAGAGAAAGAGAGGTTGTCATATTTTGGCACTAAAGAGAGAAAAATAGTGTTGGCATCAATTTTGACCATCAAAATAATCGATCTTGGTGTTAAAGATTTCTATTTGATGAGAAGAGTTCCACTTAAGTGTGTTTTGTGCTTTGAAATTGCTTTTAAAAAAATCAAATATGAGCTTGAAAAAAGTTTTAATTTCGGTTTGATTTTGATTTTTAGTGTGGTTTTTCTTTGTAAGGTCATTTAATGAGTCTTAGAATTAAAAATAAAACATAGAACCAGTTTTTTCAGCCACTAAATTGGCTGGAATCTAGTCAAATGACACATTGTCGGGCTTTTTTTCCCAAAAAAATGGGACGGACGACTTATCATCTACTAAAAAAAATATTAAGGCTGAGCACAGGCCCTTGCTAAACAAGTCAGGCACTGAGCTGGCTTTTATTTATTCTAATTCATCTATATATTTATTTTAATTTTTTATATAATTGAATTTTATTTTTAAAAATATTCTAATAATAAAAAAAAACTTTATTTTTTTCTTTGATTTTATTCAATCAATTATATATATATATATATATATATGCTATCATTTTATAAAATAAAAAAATATTTTTAATAAACAAAATCAAGAAATACAATTAAATTAATAGGCTTTGCAAAATTAAATATCTTGATTCACAACCATTATAGATACATATTTAATTTTTATTAGTGTTTTTTTATTATTTATTGACATAAATAATTTTTGATTTATTTAATTTAATGCATGTATAAGTTTTTAAATTTATATTTGATATTTTTTATATAAAAAAACATTGAAAAAGCATATGTATTTAATTTTTTTATTGGAAAAAAAGCATACAACCCGAAGAGTAAAGTGGAAAGACTAACCTAGGACTTCGTTAATTTCCCTGAGATATATATATTGCTGTAGCAAATAGGAGAAAATTGTCTAAACCGAATGGTCAAGAGTGTTTGTCTCATCAAACACTAACAACAAGAAAACAAAAATTAGTGCAGCATTGCATCTCAAAATTGCCACCATCCAAACCCGCAGCCTATAGCCTACAAATTCCTCTCCAAAAACTGTCAATTTCTCCGTGCATTTTCCCCAAATAAACAATTCTTATAACATTAATGAACTCAAAATAACATGGTCCTGGGATTTATTAGTCAACTACAAGCCAATGAGGTAATGTTGAAATAATCAGCCATATCAATCTTATCCAAAGATTTTGTTAACTTACAGTTCCTTCGGGTTTTGTTTAAATACAAAATGCTGCCCCAACCTTCAATCTAAAAAGTCCAAGTTTAGGAACTGATGCAACGAGATTTTCACTCAGTGGAGTATTCCATCTCTTAATATCCCTTTATGGTATACCCAATAGCTGGAAGAAGCAAGAACATCAGTATCCTGGTGGGCAACACTGAGCCAGAGGTGCCATTGAGACAAATAGAAGTCTCAGAGTGTCACATATAAGTGCTGAAAAAAATGTGCGCGGAAAACATATTTCCAAATTATCTCTGGCTTCTCAAACATAAATTTTTCCGAGAATTAGGAGCTTATCAGCATCTCAAGAATTAGAGCAGCAGCATGTACATAGAGTGTCCTCAAATAAGTCTTGTCGCTCTCTCCCCTGCTCTGGAATATCCACTTTGATTCCCTGTGCCCATTTACCCTCATACCTGCCATCTATTCAAACTCAATTCTGGTTATTTGATCACCTCTCAGTAGAAGAGTGATGACAATAAATAGTGAAGAAAAAAAAAAAACATTAAGTCCTCACCAAATTCAAGCTAGTGCAATGTTCCCCCATTCCCACAGCTATTCTTTTGAAGGTGGTCTCTTGATCTTATATCAGCCTGCAGTTAAAGCAATATGGTAATGCCCAGATAAAACAGCATAGTCCCCCAACAGGATGCATAAACAAAAAAAGGAAAAGAAAAGAACAGAGTCACAAGCATTTGACAGTTCAAGGTTATGAGCTAAGGTTAAACGCATAGTCTCCAACTTTTACATTAATCTCTTTTACCTCCCAGCTTTCAGTAAAATATGGAACATGACCATCGAATAAATTAGGGCCTTTGAGAGTAATGTTTGAGACCAGATGCACTGTCATATTTGAGACGGATTACAGCAAATCCTTGCAAGGCAAATCATCAAACAATTCATGGCCACTTAATGAGATTTCCTACTAACCACCCATTTAACCATGTGCTTACCTTCACTAAATATGACATTTCAAATCACTAAACTAGCATCAGGCTTCAATAGGAATTAAATAGAAAAGCTAGCTATTGTGACAGAATGCTTCTCCATGAACAAGACAACATCTGAGCTCAATTGAAAAGAAAATCCAAGAGATCTTCATCATAGATTCATGATCTACAGGACATTAGAGCTTTCATCCAACAGCTATCTCATTTGAGACAGCCAAATATAATAGCTAAAGGCCAATAGGGTCAATCCCACTACTGTTAGGAGAACTCTCACATCATTTTTATTGGCCTTTCATTAAGTTGCAAAAGCAAGACAACAGAATCACAGTTAAACTAGTCTGGATGTGGTAAATGCTGACTTAAATATTAGTTTGTTCATTGTCTATTCTGTCTGAATAACACTACCAAATCCTTCATGGAGAAAATACCACTAGTGAGTGACACTTTCAAAGCTTTAAAATTTATAAGGTTTCACCTGCCGGATAGGCTCCAGCACTCGATACTTGCAAATCATTTTCACAATTTTGATGGCAGTATTGAGAGAGATACGGTGACCAACTGAAATATATATGGGTTTGCATGAGCCCTTGGTTGATCTCATCGCCTGTTAAAGAAAAAAAAAATCAAAGACATAAAGATTTGAACATTGTCATGAAAAAGACTTCTGGAGCAGAAGAGAAGATGATGCTCTGAATAAAATATATGGTCTCACTCAGATATGAAATTTTTATGCTGAGTTAGAAAAAGAAGATGATGAGTAAAATCTGTTACCGCTCCCCATACACAGCCAGAGGATCCCGTCAAAGTAATAAAATCTTCACCACTATTATCTTTGGCCTGAAGAAGCTGTCTCACTCCAGATTGAGTGAGACCATCAACATGATGCAGCTAAGACATACAAACGAGAAAATAGAGGGAAAAGTTCTTAACGAAAGGACAAGTTAAGAGATGAAATAAGAAAGGCAAGTTGAATTGCGAATACCCTAAAGAAATCAACGAGAAACTTAATTAGATGACTAATGGTGGCTACAATAGCTAGCATTAGGTAATAAAAGAGTCGTAATTGAGAAGTAGTACGAGGTTAGTTACATTCTTTCCTATGCCAATGGTGGGGATTTTAGCCAGAACACCAAGATGGCAAGCCAAGCCGAAACCTGTGAAAGAGAGCTATTTGCTATTTGCTATATGTAATGCAATGCATAAAAAGAAATGAAGATTCAATGGAAAAGGAGAGAGAGAAACTTGCCTCGAGGATGTAGCAAGCCATTGCCATCAACAAGCAGTAACTGTTGAATAAAACAGAGACAACCTCAATTTCAGATAAACCTTAATTAACAGGCAAGGCAAGAGAGTAGGAATCGATACATATGATGCATGGAAGGTATATATGGTACGAGATTATCATATTCATAAAGGGGATGGGAGGGGAGGGATGAAATGAAAAAGAAAGAGGATTGTGGATTGGCTGACCTGGGGGTGGAATGGATTGTCAGTTTTTTTCATCTTCTGTAACAGTTGTAACAGTATTGGAGCCTAAAAATCATCATCATCATCATCATCAATGATAAATAAAGAAGGAAAGAAAGAATCGCAATGATAACAATAGATTCTACTGACCTCTCGGAAAGCAAGGAAGGAAGGAATATAAGGGACATCGAAATTGGTGAGGAGAAAGAAATCTTGGTAGACGACTTGCAGAGTGGGAGTGGTGACATCCAAAACAACAAGGCTTCCACATCCGCATGCTGCCGTTGATGCTGCTGCTGCTGCTGAGTCTAATTCCTTAGAATAGCTTACATCAACCCCACCCACATATTTCAATAACGTTCCTTCTTCTTCAACAACAACATTGCCGCTGCTGCTGGGTATGGGCAGTTTCCAAGGGAAATCATCCTGTGTTATCAACCTCTCTTTAAGTAAATCTTGAATCCTGCTTTTTACAACATTTAATCAATCGATCAATCACATATATCACATAAATCACTGCTATACAAACGAGAAAACAGCATTCAAGCAAGCAAGCAAACGAGTAGCAGCCAAGCATCATACTCTCTCCATTGATTTTGGATTTCAATTGATGATGATGATGATTCTCCCCGATCCCGTCCATGACGAAGACCATGATCATCCATAGATGTAATCGTTGCTTGCAAGCTTGCCTAAAATCCGTTTCCCCGATCCCGTCCATGACGAAGACCATGATCATCCATAGATGTAATCGTTGCTTGATCTTCAGCTCAGTTGCCAAAACCACAGATTGCTAGCCGCCGCCCATCAATCACGCAGTATATTTACGTTTAGATGATTAATTTAGTAACAAATGATAGAACTTCAACCGCTAGCTTGTCACCCATCAGGATCGAAGGAAATAAATTATTCAAATTTATGCCGATCTTGAAGGATCGGGTGTACGAGAATTCAGTTACAAATGTTTTTAAACATGTATCTTTCTTTAAAATATATAAAAATAATAATATTAAAATATCAAAAAACATTAATTTAAAATAAAAAATAATTTTTTTTAAAAATATTTTAAAACATTAGGATCCTAGTTAAAAGCCAGCATGACCTATATCATGTTTATATACCATTTTTTAAGCGTTTAATTTTTTCTTCACTTTAAACTATATTTTTTTAACGTTTTAGATAGCAGATATCAAAAATAAAAATTTAAAAACTAATATAATAATTTTTTTTTAAATAGTCGCTATTACAATACCAAACATGCTTTTAATCTTTAATCTTGTTTGTTTGCTAAAAAATAGTTTTATTTTAGAAAGTGATTTCATTAAAAATTAATTTTTGAAAAGTAAATTATTTTTTGATATTTGATAGTGTTATGAAAAATAAGTTAAGAAATATTTTTCAATATTTAACCATGTCATGAAAAATAAATTGTAAAATAATATATTAGTTTTTTAGTTTTTTCAAGTTTATTAAAAGAATGAAAAACAAATTTCACAATTAGAAAGTTGAATGAGAATAAAATTGAAAAAAATAATTTTATAAATTATTTTAAATAAAATAAATAATAATTAAAATAATAAAGATGAAATCTGACTGATAAAAAAGTTGAAAGATGGTGAAATTAAAAACAATTATAATTTTATAAATTATTTTGAATAAAATAAATAGCAATAAAAAAATAAAAACCAAATCTAAAAGAAAAAAATCAATTAAAAAATAATAAGAAAAAAGTAAATAAAAATTAAAAAAATAAGTACCAAATTTTATATAAAAATCAAATTAAATAAAATTTTAAGGGATGAGATTGTAAAAAAAAGATTCAAAATAAAATATATAACAATTAAAAGTTCGATGATCAAATTTAATATAATTAACAAATAATATGGTATTTTTAAATTTTTTATAACTTTTAGAAAGTGTTTTCCGATTAAAATAAAAAAAAATATTTTTCAAGAAATTAAGCCAAGTTTTTCTTTCACTAGAAAATATTTATTGTTGATGAAATTTTCTAATAATAAATAAATATAAAAATTATTTGTAGTAAATCACTCCTGAGAAAATAAACATGCCTTAACTCTTTGATGTATTTTTAATTCATTCCCGAGTACTTCTTGAGACTTCATGTATGCAAGAGAATGCAAAAAAATAAAATAAAAAAAGATATAGTAATGTAACTTGGAATCATAAAACTGAAAATAATAAAAGTTCAATAAACAAAGCAAAAGAAAAAAACAATGAATGAGTCGGGAACACAATGAATATTGGAAATTCAATTATTAGAGAACTTAATTAGTTCAATAAACAAAGCAAAAGAAAAAATGTGTTCATTGAAACAAGCAAGATGCCAGCAACAGAGGTATTGACATCGAAGAGGACTCCATTTTAGAACTGGAAAAGGTCCAAAATCAACCATAGCTAGCAGAACACACAAGTGCTGCTTCAAAATGCCAGAAGCAGTAACCATCTTAATTTCTACCCTCTCGTCTCGATCACATGATGAACTAATTAAGATATACAGACCTTTTTTTCAAGCTATAAGTCTGCAAAGGTTCAAGTTTAAACAACATCATTTCCGACAACCTTCCTCACAACATTATATCCAAGGTGTCCATGTGTTACTATCCCAAGAACTCTCCCTCTTGCATCAAACACCGGAGCTCCAGAGCTACCCGACACAATTGATATGTCACTAACCATAAACATCGGCTGACTTTTATTGCCGAAATCGAACCCAAGGGTACCATAGGTACCGTAACCAGTGATTTTTGCACAAGTGAAGACGTGAGGGAGACTTGCAGACATGGAAATAATGTAGACCTCTTGCCCAATTTTAACCGTATCATCTCCAAGATACACTTCAGCATAATCAACTTTCTTATTCTTCTTCTTCTGATACTCCAAAACACAAAGATCACTTTCTTCATCATGCTTAGATATGGGTACTTTCTTTCCACCTTTTTGTGAAACTCTAAAGATTGTGGGCTCCAAATCATGCTTTATCACATGAGCACAGGTGATAATATGACGACCCTCGTCGATGATAGCACCAGAGCCGCTGCCTTTATCTTTATTATCAATGTGAACAACTGTTGGAGCCATGCAGTCGAAAAATTCTTTTAATTGACTACCTTTAAGATCATCAAGGTATCCTTGATTTTCAGTAACCTTCCAATAAGTTTTTAAACCCATCTTCTAAAAGGAGAGAGAGAGAGAGAGAGAGAGTACTAAATACTTTAATGTTTAAACGACGCACCCACATATTAAATAACAATAGCTCATGCACATGATACTGCTTTTCATGCATTTTACATGGTATAGCTCTTCATGCATTTGGCATTTTCCATGGTACAATGTGAAATTATTATTAACTAATACTCTAAAAGGCGTGGGAAAGTACTGTAGCTTTCCCACGCCTTTTATGCATTAGTGTTTCACTGTGCACTGCACAGTGCACAGTGCACAGTGAAACAGTTAGCTGTATTTTTTTTTTCGTTTTTATTTTTTCTTTGTTTTTTATGACTTTATTAAAATGAAAACCAAGCTTACCTTGAAGGAGAAGTCAGGGGAGAGTGATCAGACCGAGGGGGGAGACTCGCACAATCGGCATTGCTAAATCAGACAATGCACCACGCTATAGACATGTTCTGCATGATGGGATGGACATTAAATTTATGTTACAGGTCGCAGGGGAACAAATACAATGACTTCAGTTCCACGTAATGTGATGAGCTTCAAATATATGTTATGGGCTGTTGAGTAACAATGGGTTTTCTACACTATGCGATGGGCTTCAAATTTATTTTATGGGCTGGAGAGAAATAGCGGGCTTTGTATTAAAAACATTGGTTTCTAAATGGGTTGAGTTGTGATTAGTGAGCTCAATCTTAGTTAAGATTTGGTTATTATTTTGAGAGAAAAGAGATGAAATCTGATGCAACATAAAAATAATATAAATTTATTCTAAAATTATTTTAAAAATAAATTTATTTTTATATCTTTATTTTTGTTCTTCTAACCAAAATACTCTCTCTCTCTCTATATTAACAAAATAAATTTTAATTTTGATATAAAATTTCATTAGTTACAAAATTATTAATTATTATTAATCAAAACCCACAAAACACTATTTATTATAATATATATATATATATATATTAATTTCATCCTTCAACAATTCAGTCGTATATATATTACCTGTAGAAAGGGATTTTACCTGTTATAACTGTCTGGAAGAAGGTCATCGGCTAATATAGCGAGCTTCAAAGGCCCACAAACACCTGCCCTCATCACCTCTAGCTCCATAGATTTCCCAACCTTGTCCCAAATCATTCCAAAGAACTGACGCCAAGAATCAAAAGAAGATTAACTCACTCTTGTTTCCCCTTTTCTGGGACAAACATTGAACGATAAAAACACTACAAGAGAGGCAGGGTGCTCTACACCCAAGCAACTAAAGTCACGTACCTTTAAGGAGCAGCTAACCACCTCTCTGTCGCATTTAATTATAACATCATTGGGTTGTATCTCAGCACGATCAGCAGGAGACTCTTCCGTTACCTGATACAAGTGCTCCAATGTTACTGTTTTGGAAGATTTATAAGCCAGCTTCTCAAATTCATTAATTATTAGTTTTGGAAGATTGGGATCCACTATGACATGCAACAGCACACCAAGAATGCGTCCTAAATCCCTCTCATTGGTCTCCTTTGTAACGCAGCTCTCCACACAAATGCCTTGGATGGAACAATACCCTTCCATGGAAATACAACACTCACAAATACTTGTGTAGGTTTGTAATGAGACCAAACCTTGAACTTTATGATGCAGGACAGAGTGTGCTGCCTGCTTTCTTTCTTTTTAACTGATATGGAAATGGATTTGAGAAAAATAAATAAATCACATTGATTAACAAAAAAGAGACAGAGTAGCAAGATTTTGTTGATAAGAAAAATCTGGTGTTGTTTACCATATGGAAGATTCAAAAAGAAAGTGAGGAATTTCAGATTGGCGACACCGTGGAGAGCAAAGAGAAGATAAATCAATCTATAATCAGGCGATTACAAAGCCTAAAGAACCCTGTGTTACACTTGATGTAGATGAACAAAAGAAAAAAGTTGAGGAGCACGAAGTTATGAAAGCAAGGATATCGAGGACAAAGTGCTGCTGTCAACACAAATGGCCACTATTCCTGATTTTGATAGTCAAATTGATAGAACAAAACTCATATTATCACTACTGTCACCAACAAACCAGTTCCTATATCAGTGGTGTTGCATTGCAGCAGGATGTCATTGCAAGCTATGTGATTTTTGCTGCTTGGACACTTCAAAACTCAAGGTCGAGTTTTCTCCAACCAGGGGAAAATGATGCAGATAACAAAAGAAGCAAGATTAATGTCTTTTTATAGACAAGAGTATTTCTGTAATATTCAGATCTGCTGAAAATTTGTCTTGGGTTATTTTCTATCTAGTAATCTACTGGTTCTAAAATAATTAGCTTTTATAGGTTCTTACTTCTAAATAGATTTCTTATATGGAAAATTAAATCTTTGTTGGACTAGGAGTACTAGCATCTTATATAGTCTTTCAATATTTCACTTTGTTTTTTATTCTCTGAGTCTATCTCTCTTAGATATGACAACTAAGAACCCTAGATGTGAAGCTTATTTTTTATATATCCTCTAAGTGTGACTCTCATAAATCTATCCCATGTCCTTCCTCTTATTCCATCAGAAATCAACATTAACACAGTTCTAACAGCCCTAAAACAGCCTCTGAAGTCAGATTCAGAACAGCCCATTGGCTGTCCTGTATCATTTCAACTCCTAATTGCTTCCATTTGAAAGAAAATTACATTAATAATTACCGAACAGGGGGCATGAACTTGGATGCCTAGCCCAAAGAAGAAACATTTGATTCAGCATGGTCAGTTGAGCAGTAGCTTTGGGCTCAGGGTTATGAGGATTTCATAAGTGTGGAAGCTGCTAGTTACAAGACGCACAAAAAGAATATTTCCGAGAGCTATCATCTTTCAACATGTCCATGTATATATATTTGCCTCATCAAACAAGCCTTAAAAGAAATCATGGAATAGAAGAAAGGGCCTCAAGGATGAAACTGTTGAATATATGAGCAAATAATAAGTGGACATCACGGACCAAGCCATGGAGCAAACACCCGCTCCAAAAGTGTATTTGGGGAAAATATAAAGAGGAAGAAAATAAAAAAGCGCAGCAAAGACCATACCTCTTCAACTATAACCCCTTTGCAAACAAGAGGGAACAATTGAACTATTTCCTCCAAAGTGACCACGTCAGCAGCATAAAGATTAATAAATTCCATCCCAAGCCAAGGATGAGGGACACTCCTACGCCATTGTAGAACATTAGATGCACCCAACATTCTTCACAATATCTTATTTCAGGTTGGATATTGACAAAAAAAAGAAGAAGATTAAATAACTTCCATCCCCATACAGTACCCTGGATGGGAAAAGAATATACAGTATGTGCACGCAAAAAAAAAAAAAAGAAGAAGAAGATTAAATAACTTCCTTCCCCATGCAGTACCCTGGGTGGGAAAAGAAAATACAGCATGTGCACCACGATGCAGCAGGTGATTTTGGAAGAATTAAATAATTTTCCTTGTAATTTAGTTTAGCTTTAATTGTCCTCCGTGTCTAGAACATTGAATTGTTGTTTTTCGGCTGGCGATTTCTTCACACACCCCATACCACATCTACCAGTAAATATAAAGATTTGGAATTCTCAAACTCATTGAGAACAACATGATCAGTAAGTTAACAGGGTATACAAATTATGAAAGGAATCTCAATACAAATCAATTGTGGAACGGTGCCATGAACATGCCAGAATATCATGGAAAGCAATAAATACTCTGCAAAAATGATGAGGCACATACCTTTTCTTATTTAAGTGGTCCAGGCATCTAAAAGCTATGTTGATCGGCAGAAAAGGAGTCTGGCCCTTCCAAAAGAAATTGATCCCGATGACTTCTCCATCCCAATTAATGAGTGGCCCCCCAATAAAATGCTACAATAAAGAACTAGTTTATGCTACAGTTTGGTATCAGTTCATCAAATATATAACATCAAAGCATAGATCTTTTAGTCAGTCTAAGAACATGCCAAATCTAGAACAAGCTCCGGACAAACAATTGTTTGCCCCTTTCTTGCTATCCTCAAGCAACAAAGACCGTTTTATGGTGAAAGCGGAGTTAATGAACCATGATTTAGTGACCAAACTTGTGGTTTAGTCAGTAAACTTATGGTGAAAGCGGAGTTAATGAACCATGGTTTAGTCACCAAACTTGTAGTTTAGTCACTAAACTTGTTGTTTGGTGGTTTTCCCTTTCAAAAGGAGGTTCAAGTCTAGGCATTGCACTTGGGTGGATGAAATAACAAAAGAGGGTTAATTCCATTTTGTAACAAGGTTAATGGATCAAAGAGTTGTTTCATGGGTACCTTAAATGAGGCATGGGAAGGTCAACAATTATGGGCTCACCGCAAATTCAAGTAGTAGGACTTGGTGGGTACAGTGAAAATTTTATAGGCACAACTTAAAAGTCTTTTGAAATTCAGTCTCTGAAAGGGTTTATTTTTATTTTTTATGGGGATATTTCTTCTGGACTCTCTTTGAAAGTGAAATCGCATAGTCATAGAACAAAAAATTCTCTAAGAAACAAGCTTTTTGCATAAAAACACCACTCCTTTCCTTCATACTCTCATTCACTTCTCTTAGTAGTTAGTTCTACAGTGATCCTAGTTGACTTTAATACTCTCATTCTAAGTTTCTCTACACTGGAGTTTGATCTCCTCATAGCATGTGAGGATGAGTGTTGAGCTATGCTGCTCAGATACAAAATTCAGGGCGTCAAGTCCGAGTATCGGCCCAAGAGTTATAAAAGATGAATTCAAAATTTCTGAATATGGTGAATTGACTGAAAAGTGTTAAAATATTGGATGTGAGTACACGAATGTGATGCATGATGTAACCTCCAATTATAGTTGAATTGAGACCTATTGCCCAAAAGATGTTCCATGTATTATGTAACTCGTAGTCCCAAATTCAAACAAGAGGGCAGTAGTGGCTTGTATATAAAAATTGGGAATAGATTGAAAGAATGCTAATGAAGGCAATAAGGAAAATCAATTTCATCTATTTCAAGTGAAAGCAAGACCAAGGGGTTTTGAAAAGTTTGAGCCTCAAAGACCAAGGGGTTTTGAAAAGTTTGAGCCTTAAATTGACTGGTCATTAATACCTTCTCCAGAGAACAATATCACTAACCAAACCAAGCAAGAAGCATGCTTACTTTAACACTTCTCTATTCTTCATCTCTCGCATTTCTCCATCATCATTTCTCTAAAAAAACCTTTGTTGAGTTTATTACAAACAGCCATTGTTATCAATATGTTGCTTGTTTAGTTTGGATAGAGATGAGGTTGTGTCCAAGTGCAAATACAAGAGTTAGAAAAGGAATTCATGCTTGTACGGTCATTTCATCGACACAAATACTCTAGGGTAAAATGCTTAAGCCCGAGTAACACAAATGAGATATAAGCAAACATACATGATCCGACTAAGCCAAAAAACAAATTAATGCATGAAACAGAGAGAGTAGTGTTATTACTGTAGTAATCTCGCAAGTTGTCATTAGGAGCTCTTGGCAATCCAATTCGCAGCAATAAATACTATATGGGAAGAAAGTAGGGTAAGATCACAGCACAGCAGTTAGTTCGGAAAAAAAAGCGTTGTGGTCAAAACAGTGCGCCACGGTGCATTAGAACGTTGTGGTCAAAACAGTGCGCCACGGTGCGTTAGAAACAAGAATACAAGAATACAAGAGGAGAGTGGTGATATTTAGAATTGAAAAGGAGACTACTAGCTTAATTATGATTGGAAAGCAAACATATAACAATAAAAGGTAATTGTAAGGATGCAGAAAAATGCAATTGAAGATATCCTGGTGATGGTAAGGATATTGATGAAATCTTGAAACACTAACCTCCTATATATCCAACGTTGCTATAAGAAATGAAAAGACGAGGTTCATTTTGGCATACCTGAAATCACCAGAACTGACAAGAAGCTGGTGGTGATGATCTTGCACCCGGGCTAAAGCTATTACTTTATCCCCGGGACAAAGGTTAAAAAAGTTAGCCTCTACCATGGTGTGATCATTATCAGGTTGTAAGGACATAGAATCATCTATCCATTTAAGACATGCTTTTTGAGGAGGTTTATCAGGCTTGAACTTGACGGTAGCAATGTTGTAGTGTAAATCAAAAGCTGAAACCTCTCCCTCGTACGAACTGCCATCTGATAGATGTACTTCAACCTGCAATTGCAATACAATATTGTGAGAAATTTTCAATTCTACTAAAAAGGCAATGATAATAATAATAAAGTCGGTGCTGTACCGTGATTTGAGAAGGGTCTCTATAAGAGTGAAAGAGAGAAGCAGAAGTCAATATGGTAGCCTCGAATTTACCATCATCTCCTGCTGCACCTTCACATTCTACAATTGTGCCGGTGCACGCAAAACACTTTTCTCCGCTACCTGCCAGAAAGGCAGCAAAGCATAAAGCTTTATGTTACCAGGCAGATCATACATGTTAGGAAGCATAAAGTTAGTATATGATATACCTACCTCTGTGGTATGCAACAAGGCACACAACCGATAGAGAAACTTTCAAAGCAGCTAAATTTGTATTGAGTTTCAATTCATCATCCCGCCTTTTCAAAAACGGAGGCGGAGGCGGAATTCTATCAACTGTAAAGAAATATTCAGAACAAGAAAAATCAGATTAAGTAAAAACAGATGAAGGAAGAAACTGATCGGAAAAGAAGAAGAAGAAGAAACCACCGGCCTGAAAAATTCATGTTTTCTCCTTCCCAACGATACCAGATAGGAGAGACGGGTACACTAGGGATTCTTAATCAGTAGACGATGTGGAAAAGGAAGGCAGCAGTAGAGACTGGAGTAAATAATCCTCCTATTTTTTCCGAGAACAATAAAAAAACGGCTGGGCCTTTTAATAGGTTTCTGCCACCTTACTCTAAAATAGGGCCTTTTTTTCAACGGCAAATACTTTATTCTAAGTTACTGTAGATTTATTTTCAGAAAATATAACAAATTAAAAATTTTATACACATATATAAATAAATAAACTAAAAATTATATATGTTAATAAATAAATAAAAAATTATTAATAATACCTAAAAACAAAACTTAAAAAATCAGAAGATAAATATAAATTAAAATATTAAATCTTGAAAAATAAAACATTAAATTGATTGAATAAAAAAAGACATGTAAGTCTATACATATTAAGAATATCATCTAAAAATAAATATTTTTATTTTTAATAACATAGTTTATCTATATGAAAGATGAAATCAAAACCATAGATGAACCAGAAAAATTACTCTAAAAATTAAACACATATAAAAAAATCAATATTTTTAAAAGAGACCCCCAAACAAAATAGAAGAGAGGAGATTTTATCTTTTTTTGGTTTTCATTTTATTTCTTTTCAATTGTATTTTTTTAAAGTTATATTTTCATGGCAACCATAGTTATCAAATCCAGCATGAAGGTTGACCCTGCCAAAAAGTCGGGTCCTGGGTTATACTAGTCAACCCGAAAAAATTAAAAATAAATATTTAAAATTTTAAGATTTTATATAAAAAATTAATAAACAATCCATATGAATATAAACTATACATATTGTAAATAATTAAGTTTGAAATATTATTTCAAAACGTTTTTTATCACACTTTGAAAAGATATTATTTTATTCTTCTAAATTGAAGTATTTAAACCAAAAAGTTTTATTATACCATACTGAAAGAACATAACTTTTTTCTAATGAACATAGAGTATATATACTAAAGTGTTTCAAATCCCACATTGAAAAAATAAATATTTTTATAGTATTTATATAGTAAACTTTGAAATGAGTTAGTAACCCACTAACAAATATATTTATAAAAAAAGTTCTCTAAGTAGGAGAGAAGCATATTTGAAAATAAATCTCTACTAAGTTTTTGCCAGGTCACCGGTGTTCTGAGTGGGTCGACAAGTTTATTTTGGGCCAATTAAAGCCCAAATTTTGAATGAAATAAAACCGGCCAAGATACTAGGTCCCAGGTTGACCGATGAGGGTGGGTTTAATAATTATGATGGCAATCATGCCAGGCCCATGGTATTAGGTCCAACTATCAAACCCAATACCATGGGTGTGGCAAGCAAGCCGGACCCAATACCTTGGGTCTATATAGAAGACTCTTAAGTTTAGCTTGATTGTTAGACCCAATATCATAGGTTATTTTTTTAAAGTTATATTTTCATGGCAATTATAGTTATCAAATCTAGCATGAAGGTTGACCCTGCCAAAAGGTCGGGTCCTGGGTTACATGAGTCAACTCGAAAAAATTAAAAAAAAATATTTAAAGTTTTAATATTTTATATGAAAAAATTAATAAACAATTCATGTGAATATAGACTATACATATTGTAAATAATTAAGTTTGAAAGATTATTTCAAAAAAAATTTATCACACTTTGAAAGATATTATTTTATTCTTCTAAGTTGAAGTATTTAAACTAAAAAGTTTTATTATGCCACATTGAAAAAACATAACTTTTTTCTAGTGAACATAGAGTATATATACTAAAGGGTTTTAAATCTCACATTGAAAAAATAAAATATTTTTATAGTATTTATATAGTGAACTTTGAAATGAGTTAATAACCAGCTAATATATATATATATATAATAAGACTCTTGGGTCTAGTACGATCATTAAATCTTAGAGAATTAGGTTTGTGTTGGGTCTAGCGGTGGAGCCAGACCCAAAGGCATTGGGTTCGGCTGCCCAGTAAGATCCAATATCTTTAGTTCTATAGTTGTGAAGTCAAACTCAATATCCTTTGGTCTTGCTGCGGAGACAAACCCACAAGATTGGGTCTAACGATAGAGTCAAACTCAATATCCTTTGGTCTGATAGGCAAAAACATTGGGTTTGGTTGCGTAGCCTGACCCAAATGCTATTAGATGCTAAATTCCATTGGGTGCCAAAAGCACTTGTTATGGCGGTTAAGTCAGCTAATAGTACTTTTTGACTAAAAATCAACAATGACAATACCCCCATAGCATTACGGTGTCATCTACAATGTAAATACTCTATATCTACAGTGTGGGTCCACAATGCAATAAGTCCCTGTTCACAATAAATGTATAGAGTTTTTCTCATGTCTTTCAAAATATAGTATAATTTGAAGCCATTGTCACCCTCTAAGTATTTTACTGTACATCTAAAAAAACTGGATTTCTTTTATTACCTTCAATTCTATTATTTCTTTAATTTTATCCTTAAACTATTTTTACTAGCTCATCAGGTTATATTTGAATCAGACAAGTTGATTAGATTATATTTAAAAAAAAATTTATACAATTTTATTTTAAATACAAGCTAGAAGAGGAAGAGTTAGATAAGATTTTTTTTTATTTTTTTATTATTTTTTTCTCAATTATATCCTCAATTATTTTTTATAGTTTGATCAAGTTGCTTTTGGATTTGTCAAGTTAACTAAATCAATCAATATAACTCTCACATGATTTGATTTTAAATCTAGGTTACGCGCAGAGTTGGGTGGGAGGTTATTTTTCTATTAATTTCTTCTTCTTTTTTCCAAGTTCATACTTAGATTTTTTTTATTAGTTGGCCAAGTTCATTTAATCATGTCATGACAACTTTTATACGATTTAGTTTGAAATCCATGCTATACAAAGAGTCAAGTTGAAAAGTTTTAAAATCATGTTAAACCGAGTTTAATAGCCAAATAATTATCTTTTATTGTTTTCTTGTGGTTATATTTAATGTAAAATCTTTCCTTGTTTTCTTATTTTATTTAAGACATTTTCGGTGTTCTCTAAGCAACCTATGAGAGGTGTAAACCTTAGGAATAAACTTGTACATAAATTAAAAATAATATAGATGGAAAAGGAAAAATGAGATAATTAATATACAAATTAAATAAACTGGAGACCAAAAATTTTTCTGGTATTAAAAAAACACAATTAAGTAAGTCGGGTCAAATGTCAAAAAATAAAAAAAATGATGAGATTATAAATACCTCATTTTCTTCTTTTTAAGACAGGCTGCATCAACAACAAATTGAATGAGAGAAATCTGATTTTTTCCACCAAAAATTGAGAGAGAACACCAAATTTGCTATGTTTACACAAGATTTAGATTGATTGATAGAGAAAACATCATTAGCAATAAACAAGTGAACAAAATTATAAGGAGTGAGGGAGAGAGTAAGGGTCAACTGGTGTAAAAAAGGAGAAGTTGAAATTTTTTGTATGATTAAGAATAATGAAAGTCAATTTATCACCAGGTAAGGAGCTCTCAATTTGATTATGTAAGCCATTTTGAATTTGATAAGGTGTATTAATGTTAAATTTAAGTTAGAGTTCTTAAGTAGAATTTGAGGGAAATACATAATCGTGTGGAATTAAATTAATTAAAGCATTAAAGATTATCTTAAATAAAAAAATTATGTAGAGATACAAAAATAATAAAAATTCTATGGTTAAACAAACAAAGGTGGTGGCTATTGGAGGGTTAATTAGAAGAAAAGAATTTATAATTTTTTTATTTTGTAAATTACTTGTCATCTTATGTTTATAATATGAACAAATGGTTGTTTTGGAGGGAGAGTAGAAAATAAGGATGTTTGAGGGATCATTTGAAACATTGACGAAACTAGACAGATTCATCTCTTTAACTTTCATAAGGGATTCGAGCCTGAAAATGATAGAATTTTGGAACGGTCCTTTCATAGGAGTTATAGCCAAAGATGTTATCTTTCCGACAAGACTGTCCTTGTTTAATTTGGAGTTCTATAACTTCAGATATAGGTAAAACTCTAAGGAGACGTCGGGATGCCATCTCTGCTAGCATTTTTGACAAGTTGCTGAAACGGGTAACTTAGATACGTTAGGGGCATAATTAGGTTTCTTTCCCTTTAGAAAATATATAGTTATGTGTTTTAAAATAAAAAAAAAAAGTAATGTTTGGAACTGAGATTTGTTAGGTTAGTTATGATTAAAAAAAAAAAAACAATGATATTAGGGATGTAATGGGAAACACAAATGTGAAGGAAAGAATTGTTGAAAGGAAGTCACTAATTTTACTGTTATTAAAAGAAATAATGTGATATACTTGTGAATACAAGAGGGACCATATGAGCTACACAATAGCAGCAGGAGAGTATGAGCCGAGCTTCTGCAGCAAGTAGATGTTCTACTTACATAATTATGAAAGCTTGTTTAATTTTTGGATTTTATATATAAATTTTTGCAAAAGGAAAACATCTAATGAAATGAATGAGAAATAGAAACATACTTGACTAACTATTCTGGTTAGGAATAGTTAATGACACCAATGAGTTTTATTGATATTTTCTCTGAATTTGATTAGTTGGTTCTGAGAATGAGAGGCTAATGATGCTAGTAGGGTTTATTAACATCGATATGATTGTTTTAGAATATGGGGGATATTGAACTTGATTAACTATCCCAGGTTAAGAATAGTTAATGATATCAAGGGGCTACATCAAATCAGCATTTCCATGCAACTTAATTAGTTATTCCTGATATGGAGGCCAATGATGTCAAGGAACCTTGACATCGAGATTTTCGAGGATATTTCAAAGTACTGTTGGGAATTAATTAATTATTTCGAGTTAGGAATAGTTAATTAATGAATTATTTCGAGTTAGGAATAGTTAATGACAAATAT